TTTACTGCCAAGAGAATTCAGACAGCAGTTACTGAATGCCACCAATTATCAGACACTGACGTAGTTTCTTTACATATTTGAATTTAATCACCAAATGAGACTATAGGATAGGTACCAGTAGATCAATTGTACAGATGATAAAACTGAGACTCAGAATGATTAAATGCTTTCCTCATAGTCATGCAACTCATAAGTGGTGGAGATGGGCTTTAACTCCAAGTCTGTATAACCCCAGCCTTTGCTGTTTCCTTTTAATTAATTAATTTATTTATTTTTGTGATAATGGGGATCGAATCCCAGTCTTTCCCACTGAGTCCTTTCATTTTTTTAGTTCTGAGACAGAGTTTGCACTATTTGGGCTCTATTCATGTTTTGAGAAGACCTGCAGAGCTTTTTTTTTTTTTTTAGTACATGCTTGTGATACATAATAATTACATTCACCTTGAGGAACTGGTACCCATCTACTTATCACATCTGAATCATTTTTTCTTTTCCTTCCCTCCTTTCCTTCCTGTCTTTCACCATCCCCAGACCCAGTGTTAAAACATAAGTGTTTGGTACATGGTAGAAACTCAACAAATCACTACCGAATGACTGAGAGTCATAAAATATTCCATCTATTTTTATTCACAAGAAACATCATGCACATAATTTCTGTTTCTATAACAATCCGAAATAATAGGCACTGATACTCTTTTTGCAAACAGGAAGCTGGAGCTTGAGCAGTTAAGTGACTTTGTGGCAGAATCAGTGATGTCCCACTCCATGACGCGCGCTCACACCGATTCTGGATGAGTGAAAGTCTAAGACAGTGAAAGAATAACTCCAAGGAAGGATACACAGAGACTAAAAGCATGTGATTCTGGTCCAAATTTGTTATTCTGCCCTTGCAGGCTCTCTGTGGTTTCATTATCTTCCTTCCATCCAGCTTTGTCTAACAAAACCCTGCCACCTCCACTGCCCTTTGTCTGCAGCCAGGAAGGCCTCTTCACCCTTCCTCTCACACATCATGATTACGGTCCCTGCTCTCTGATTTTATTCCATTTTGCCCACCGCCTGAAGAGCCCTCCTCCGCCGCTGTACTCAGCCAAGCCATACATCTCCCAAGGACAAACTCAAGTTCCACTCCTCTGTGAACTATTCCCCACAGCTCCATGCTGCTTACTCCGACCAAACATAATCTCGTTCTGTATCTTATATCTTGGTCGTGGTTACATAGCTATATTGCATTCTCTATACTATCTTGCATCCTGTAATTATTTCAACATCCAACTTTTATTCCCAGGAAAATTGCAAACTCTTTGACAGGAGGAACTGTGCTATATATTTCTTTTTATATCCCACACAAAGCCTAGCACAATTCTGGGTGAACACTCAATAAATATTTATAGAATTAAATTTAATGTGGTGCAGACTACGTTTAAACCTTCACAAGATTCATTTTTTATAAATTATATGGGCCTTGACAACAGGATTATTGGAAGGAGCTGCTTGAATGTATGCAGTCGGGGAGAGTACACAGGAAAATGCAGGGTCGCAATGCAGGTCTGGGATGCAGAAATGGCTACACTGGGATTTGGAGCCAAGGGTGGGAAGAGAAGGCTGGCCGGTCAGGGAGGAGCCCATGGTGGCTGCCAGTGCAGGGCATGGGACCTTGTAGCAGAGTCTGCAGAGACCTTCTGATTTTAAAGAGGTTATTAACAAGTTAAGCAATTTGACACTGTGTTCCTATATAGTCACAAGATTTGCTGGACTAAGGTCCTGCTAGGTCAGCAAAATCATCCTGCTTTCACTAATTTCTGTGCAGGGTGAATGCAGCATTTTAAGAGTTTTATTTATGGAAAACATTTCTATTTGTCTTTTAAAATTTTTAAAAAATTTTTTAACATCCTCTTCTCCCAATCTTCCCCCCACCCCATTCACACACGTGCATATTCTTGTAGTTTTCTCTGGATATGTGGGATGATAATATTTCCCTTATGACTAGATTCTTGATTCTAGATTCTAGATTCTTATAACTACTACCTTTGCATGTCTGGGTCTATGAATGAAACTCACATGTGAACTGGACTCCCTACAGGTAATCTTGATGTTAAACTTATGGTTCAAACACAAAGTGACATTATATCAGAGCTGCCATGGTGGTTAGGGTATCTGTGGGAATATTTTAATACCTTTGTTTTAATACCTGAACATCTCTTTTTATTCTTGTGTGGGAATCTCTGAATTATAAATAAGGATGTGGTTGCAGAAAGTTCTAAGAATATAGAAACATAATATTCCAGAAATATAGATTGGGATTAAATAGGAATTTAAAGATTTATCTCATTTATCCTTGCTATCCAGTAGAAGCTAATGTACATAACATTTCCATTTGATTAAAACTAAAAATCCTTAAAAGATCTGACAGTGGAACATGCTACTGGCTCACTAGGAAATAGTTTCTGGTGTTCCATAAGTTATATTTAGTATTAAAAAATGCTCACCAAGACAAAATGTTTTCCTCTTCTTTTTTCTCTCCTCTTTCCTCATTCTTGGTGCTTGATTGTGAATCAATGATTTGTTTCTTCTTGAAAGCTTTCTATTGTTACTAAGAAAAGAGTTTTATAATACTGTTGGCTGGTTGACCCTTCTCAGATCCACATACTTTTGTCATCAGCTAAATGTGATCACATGTTATGGTTCCAAATGTAAGCAGAGTGTAAGCAGAAGATGCTGGATGAAGGGATCTGTTGTAGCTTCTTGAAAGAAGGAAGATTGAGCTTCCCTGCCCTTTTGATATTTTTTCCCAATGCTGTTCTTTCTCCTTGAAATATGGCTTTGGGGCAGCAACCACCTGGAAATCACAAGGTGAGATGTGGAGAAAAAGGCCTACTTCTAGGATGATGGAAAGAGACTGTGTCCTGATGACTTCATCAAGGCCGTGTGTCAGACCTGCACTTTCACCTTCAGAAAAAAATGAAACAAATCCCATAATTTTAAAGTCACTATTTGTCAGATTTCCTATTAAGAATAGCCAAGCACTTTCCTAATTGAGCTTAATGGTCTTCTCATTGTTAGTTTTTGGCATTGAAGATTTCATTTAAACAGTTTATAAGTACACACACATGCGCGCACACACACACACGCACACACACACATAAAACAAAGAGTTTAAAAAATTCTGTTTTTGAGACAGGGTCTCACTGTGTATTTCAGGCTGACCTTGAACTCATTATGTAGCTGAGGCTGGCCTCAAACTCATGGCGATCCTCCTGGCTCAGCCTCCTCAGTGTAAGGATTACAGGTGTGTTCCACCATGCCTAGTGGCAAAGAATTTTTTTAAACACTGTCATTTAGGGACAACACACAATAATAGATACCATCGTATGCTTTCTTTTTCCCTGTTAAAGTGATTTGATATTCTAGGTAAACTAGATAGGGTGTGACTGCTTGATCAAACAGAAACACTGCTCCTGTCAGCTTCTCATGCATGCAGTCCCCGCAGCTCACACGTGTCCTGCTCTGCACAGCCTGTAGGTCTCACTGAGCTGTACACAGTATCTGGAATGACTTCTGTATTTTGCTTGTTTGTATCCGCTTATTTGCATCTTCTAAAATCTAGCTATTTTTTTCCCTTTCTGGACTTTTTTCAGTATTTATTTATCATTAGCTATTTTTTCCTAAACTTCGGGGTTATCAATTCCATTTTTTATAACTGGATATCCTATGCAATTTGGGGTGGATAAATTCCTAAAATATCAGACTAGATATATTTTCTGCAGGCTGCTGTTCATTTTTGTCTTCTAGGAAACAGGTAGGACTTTCAGAGTGCCTCAAAGGCAGAATCATAAAATTCCTAGGAGGCTTTGAGACAATATGGCCCTGGCCATTCTCAGACAGATTGATCCACTGGAGAGAGAGAGAGAGAGGAGATAAAAATCATGGGTAACACTGATCTTGGTAAATATTCTGTTTTTTTTTTTTCTAAAGTGGTTATGCCTTTTTTGTATTTAAATTCTTGGCCTCCATAACTTAAAGATTAGGTTAAACACTCATTATAATACTAATTATTATTGTTGTATTAAAACACCTATGTAAGGTGGCAACCATCTTTAAGTGAAAAGATACTCCAGAGAAAACTGAGGAACTTGCCCATGTTTTTCTGTTGTTTCAAACATTAACAGCTTTTTTTTTTTGGTTTTGTACATTAATTTTAGATATCTTTGCTCTGAATGTCGCACAATTTCTAAACTGTAGTTATGTTTCTTCTTCTTACTAAGTGCTTTGAGAGAGTAAAACTTTAAGGTTGGAGAACCATTAGCTTTATCCACCTAAAGAAATCTAACGGTATGAAATAGGTGGGAACATTGGCAAAAGTGGCTAGGATTTGACAAGTTTAGATTCAGAAGTGCCTGACCTGAAAAGGTCATTCTGTGGTCCACCCAGCTCCCAGCCAGTGCAATTATAGTTGGAAAAATCATGGAAAACGATTGGTAAGATGATTGGTCAGTGGAAGGTGGTTAATAACATTCTCTTGGGAAAGTAGTTACATGCTCTTGGTTAGCAGCACAGTGCACATCCCTTAGCTCTCCTTGGTGCTATTGGAAAAGACATCACAGGGTGTGGAGGTGAACACTGGATGTTCACATTCTGGTGTTGCAATCCAGTGGGTGTACTGCCTCACATGACACAAGGGATTTTGCTGATATGATTAAGTTAAGGATCTCTATATGGGAAGATTACTTTGGGTGCAATGTAATCCTAAGGGTCTGAGGAAGAGGGAGTATGATGGTTGATTGTGTCAACTTGAGAAGTTTAAGAGAAGTTTTAGTTAAGAGAAGCTTAACTACAATGGCTCAGCAATTCATACCTTACGATGTAGAAGACCCACCCAGGGTAGCTTATTACTTCCATGGTATAAAGGGGAAATGAGGAAGAGAAGGATCTGTTTTTGTTCCTTTGGAAGAGCTTCAGTCTTTGCCATCAGCTTGGACATCATCTCCTGGTTTTTATTACAGACTCTTCAGCTTCCAGTGCAAATCCTTCAGCCTTCCAGTGTAGACTCTTCAGCTTTCTATGGAAGACCCATTAGCCTTCAGATATGGACTCATGTGGAACACTGCAGTGAGCTCCGGACCTCGGACTGAATCCTTCAGCCTCCAGTTACAGACATCCTCTGCACTCTTTCTCATCTGACTTTGTGGGTGGCCACTGAAAGCCAATCTTGTAAACTCCTATGCATTTATAGATCTTGTGTTACATTTGTTTCTCTAGTAAAACACTGATGATGATGTGCTGCTGGTTTTAAGGTGGATAAAAACACTACAAGCAAAAGGTGGAGATGGCTTTTAGAAGCTGGAAAGGGATCATAGCATCATAAGAATTTAAATGTGTGTTGTTTCAAGCCACTAAGCATGCAATCATTTGATATGGCAGTAACGGGAAATGAATGCACCGGGTTTGTGCGCACTTCTTCTCAGGCTGTTTATGCCATGCAACTCCCTGCTATTTCCTTCTCCCCATGCCAGCTAGTGCCAGGAGGACTATTTATCTTGTTAATCCCTTGGAATGTTACATAGTAAAATAGTAATAGGCACTTACTTAAATTCCTGTTCCTTAGTGCCATGGCTCTTGGCTTCCTAGTAAATGTGGTTATTTCCACACATGAAGATGACTCTACTGAGTCCATTAGTTGTCTGCTCTCATCACCTTGAACTTGGATTATTGTAGCAACCAACCTGATCTGTATTCTCCACAGTGTACTAAAACAATGCTGCCTGTGTCTTACCCTCTAACTAGAGAAAACTTATCTAAGTACACCATCTTATCATGACAGTTCCTGATCAAGGATCAGTGTGGACCCTCCATTTCCTAACAATTGAACTCTTAATTATTCTTTTTAACCTTCATAATTGAATCCAATGTTAGTGGCCCCATCTGAGCTTGAACATTCTATTTGATTGTTGCCCTCTTTTTTGTCTCCCATGCAATGCCAAATCTGTGTTCATTCTGGAGTCACCTCCCCTCATCTTTTATCCTTGTTTGCTTGCCTCTTTCCCCACTTTTCTCCCTTCCTATATTCCTCCCCTCCCCCTCCCATCCTCATTCTGCAAATTTAAAACATATAGTCTAAGTTGCCAAACATTCTCAACCCTTCTGACTTCTGGTGATTGTTTTTATCTGACCACTGGATTGTGGATGATATTGACTAGGTGGTTTGTGTGGATTGAAGGCTGTATTCCTATAGTCCCTGCTGCCTGTGGTTTAGGGTAAAGCACATGATAATAATGCAAAATGGATTTATACTTAGTTAACCACATTATCTCCTGCCATCTAAACGCCTCCCTCACTAATGCGCAACTGATGCCACAAGTTCTCCAGCAAGCAGGTTGTGGCTGGGAGCAGTAAGTTCAGAAGCTACTAATGAGATCAGATAGGAAACCTGGGCACAATCAGTTCTATCTGACTGTGTAAACCATCTCTGAAGTGCTTGGAAAATACTGAAATCATATCTAGCTACTTCATCGATTGAATAGTATTTTTAGAACCTTTCCATAGCCTTCTCTATTTAGAACCTCTAAGTATGTTATTGTCTGAAACATTCAGTATTTTCTTAAACATATAATCTGGATATCAGATACAAAATGCCCAGCTTGTTGGGGGGAGTCAACTGTCTTTGATGTTTAAGTAAAGGTTGGTGTAAGTTCTTATTTTAGTAGGAAAGTTTGCATATCTTCTTTATTTTGGGTCATGACTTTTCATTTTGTTTTGGTAAAAGCTGGCCATGAATTTCTTTTTGGCTCTATTTTTGACTACCAGCCTGCACTTTACTTTTTTGGATGCGATCTCTTATCCTGCACAATGATAGTTTGCTGAATTTGCCCTTATCCAATGTCTTTTCTCCTCAAAATGTCACCAATTTAGGACATGATGTGTTGTAGACTTTACCAAAGATTTGGAGCTTGATAGTGGATTGATCTGAGGATTAGAGGGTTTGTATTCACTGCTTTTATGAGAAGTATATTAGACATAGCTGTCCTGCACTTCAGACAGATTTCTCTTAAAACTTATTGGCCACTCCTTCTACTTAGATAATAGACTTCTGCCATGCAAGGGTGTATACTCTCACCTTAGCTCTGCTCACCTTGTAGAATATGATTCCCATCTATTTGGAAAGTGGAGATCTCTAAATATTCTATTGTCTTGTATTAGATGATTCAAGTCAAGCCTTCAAGTCAAGGTGTTTAAGTTTATGATCAAACATGTTCATTTAGGTATGTTCCTGAACAAAGATGTTTCTTCTTAAAAAGATTAGTATTGCAATAAGTTTTTGTCTTCTACTATGAGTGGAGAACATAAATCATGAGAACTATGAATTACTCATGAGAACTATGAAATATTTTCATTCCATGTATTTGTATTTTGGGATTAGGGATGATTACTATTTTCTTTTTTTAGGACTTGAAAAATGGTCAAGTATTTTAATAATGGTAATGTACTACTTTGCAATACATTGTATATACAACATGCCATACATTGTATGTAAAGGTATAGACAATACACTGACAAAATAAAATATAACACATTGATAATACAAATAAAAAGGCAATTATTAAAATTGATCAATACATAGGGAGTAGTTATTTATATTTTGAAATGTTCTGTTAATTTTAGTTTCTGAAATAAGCTAAATTTTTAGTGAGTTTTTTAAAAATAAGGAACTAATGCAGCGTGGCTGTCTAATAAATGTGGAAAAATGTCGATTTGATTCACTCCCTCGGCTGACATATTGGGACTACTTCAAGACATTAAACCATTTTATGGGGAAACTTGATGGGAACAAGTTACTGCCCCATTATCAGTGTGAGACATAAAATACAATACACTTAAGTTGGGCCCGTGGGCATAATGCCTGCAGAGCAAGAATAACTTTGAAGAGAAGGAACTGAAGAGATCAAAACAGACAGCAAAAGTATTGAAGATACATAAATATTAAAGAAAGGTCTGATGAGACATAGCAAGACAATGACGATGGGACACTGGCCTTTCTGGCCCCAATTTTTTTCTACTTCTCCCCTTTTGTTATCACTCTGCTAAATCAACAATTCAGTTTGGACCAGCTGCTCTCGTGAGAAAGCTTTAAATAAGGATGTAGAAATAACTGAGACAAATGATGAAGTCATCTTTTACTGCAATATATTTTCACAATGCCTAACAGTCCCCCATTTAATCAAGAGATTGGCAGGACAGGGAACAAGTTGGTAATTTGCAGTTGGGATGTAATAAAAATGTTGTAATTCATGGATGAGACACACAGACTACATTATGTATTATGAGTTTAACTTGACTTATAACTCTTTCTAGAATTTAAACTGTCATATTTGATCATATGCATTGACTTTTATAGTGATTTAATGAGTTGTTTGGTGAAAATAAATGTTTTCAAAGTTACAAAATTTTTTGACTATACTCTTTTTTTCCCTGTTTGGTTGTTATTCCCCTCTGGATACCATACCTAGCTGTCTTACAATAGCCCAAGGATTTTTCTTTCTCCATAATGCATGGCTAGGATTTTGGGCCTTGAAAGAATTTTGCTGTTTTTCATGCTTGACCTTGATAGACAGATCATGATAAAGAGAGCCTAAATATACTGGTTAATCTTTGGGGTCAGCAAGAAACTGTTATAAGCTTTGGACATACTGGATCCAAAGCCCAAAATGTCAGGTGCTTCTCCAGAGAAGCGCTTTGTGTTCAGGATGTGGTTTGGTTTCAGCTCAGTTTTTGCTGAGGGCCATGTAATAGCAATTAACATAGCTGGTCACAACGCTGCATGCGAGGGTGAGCAATTCGTCTTGGAAGGACGAGCTTGGTTCCCATCGAGGCCCATAGGAAATGCTCAGCTATCGTGATCGATGCTGTTGATACTGCAAGACACGAAATAATGTCAGATTTCAGTAGCAGCATAGCAAAGAATCTTATGGAATAGGCTGTAATTTGAGCAGGCACACATTTTACACTCATTAACAAAAATAAGGCACAATTAATTGGCTTATTATATACTTTCTAATTGTTTCAGCTAAATTTCCATGATGGTATAAGGGAATAAAAGGGGAATCCTGTTTGGGGATTTGGCCAGGCCAGAGAGACCACATGAAATTTCCCTATGTGATAAAAATGATTAGATGCACCGCCATTTAGCAAACATAATAAGGAAAGAACCCATCATCTATTAGGAGCTGCCTAACAGTCCTGGCTGTGTGGTCAATGAGCCAGCAGGAGCGTAAAACTCCCTGGGAATAAAGTGATGTGATGTGTGGGCAGGAATGACCTCCTTTAGGGCACCTACTAGCCTGAAGAGTGATTTACTTGCTTGTCCTCCAAGAAGCCGTTTACCTCACAGAGGTGACATTTTCCTTACCCATGAGTTTCACCCCAGCTGTTGCTGCTATCTGCATATATAAAGGACAGCAGAAATTCAAGGGAATTGCCTAGGTCATATGGAACCCTAAAACACCATTTCTTCAACTGCTTAAGTAGTGAGTAAAAAAATTTTTTCCCCCTTAAGTGATACCTTCCTTAATTTTATATTTCACTTTGGCAGTGTGGACCAGAGTATGTCATAGGACGAACGACTATTAAAGTTGTCAAAGGAAAAACTTCCCAAAGAATTCTGGAGACAGCCCATGATGCTATGTTAAAAAGAAAAATTGTTCATGATGTGTAGACCCCTGATAATATGTGTGTATCTGTCTTTTAGCATTTATTATTTAGCCTTAGATCTCAGCATTTAGGACCATAAACAGGCTTCCTGAGTGCTAAACACTGGAGTCAGGTATTCTTGACTTCAGAACCCTGACATTTGTTATTGTCTCCACTGCCAGGACCTGGCCAAGATCCTATCACCCCACTCCTGGGCACAGTGAGTGAGTCTTTGAACTGGCCTCCGACTTCTGCCCTTGAGTGCTGTGCTTTTATTTTCTGCATAGGCTCAGAGTTATCCTAGCCTTGTGTTGTTAAAACACAAATTACTCTTGCCATTTCTCTGCTAAGAGCTTTGTAGTAGTTTTCCATCTCATTCCTTGAACCTCACCATGGACCCCAGCAACCTCTCTGCTCTTCTCTCGAGTCCTGGTCACTGCTCTATCTCCCCTGGCTTCCAGACCATTTCCTGACCACACAAAGCATTTTCTCCTCTCATGACCCCATGTCTGTGACTCTTCCTGATGGGGATGCTCTTGTCTTATCTTCATGGCTCAGTTGTTTGGTTCTTCCAGAATCTCTGCTCAAATGGCTCCTAACCCGAGATTTCCATGGCTACTTTCTATATAATACATCACACACAGTTCTTTCCAAACCCCTTCTTTCAACTTTCTCCACAGAAGTTCTCATCACCTGATATTTCCCATATTTGTCTCTTGATTTGTTTATGATCAGGTTCCCCCACCCCCTAAGCATATGCATGATGGTAGAGATGTATTTTTGATTACTTCTCATGGCAGATTAAATTTTCCAAGCCACCCGTAACAAGCTCTCCCAGCCCACACTGTCTTGTCAGAATGTGGCATTGACATTTACCACCAAGAGGTAGGCGTATATGTGTGTGTTTCTTCCCTTTGAATCTCAGTAGGCCTGCAGCTAGTGGCAGAAGTGATACTATGAGATTTCCAAGGCTAAATCATAAAAGGAACTTTCTCTTTGTCCTCTTGAGAATCTCAGCATCAGAACCCAGCCTCCCCGCTGTGAGGAAACTCAGGTCACACAAAGAGACTATCTTTAATTGCTCCAGTAAAGGTCATTGTTGAGGGGCAGCATTGACTGCCAGAAACGTGACTGCGGAAGACTCCTCACTCTAGTCGCTATCCCACTGCCACTATCAGCGACCCCGGAAGGCAACTGGTTAGGTTATCCTGGGCAGAAAAACCCAGAACTAGGAAGCACACACACACAATGATTGTTATTTTTTGAGGCACCACATTTTGGGATATTCGCTTAGCATCAGTAGATACCCAGAAAACTGCTATGCTTCCTGGAGCCCAGAACAGTGCCTAAAACAAACTTTCCCAGTAAATATTTTCTGAATGGACGAATGGTACACACTTCAGAGACAAAAGCGTTCTGGGTTCTTGATAGACACAACGTTTCAGTTTTGCTCCATTAAACAGCAACTGGGCACTGGTTGGCTAATGTGGTATACTGGCCGCCATGTATTTGAACGTTTCAGGTGGTCAGTTTCCTTCGAATTTCTACATCTGTATACTCTCAAGATCTGAGCAAAGGAGAGGAAACTGGAGATGAGGCTTAGATATTTGTGTTTTTGTTTTTCATCATTTCATTACACATAAACTCCTTGATACACTGTTATGAAAGCAGGAGAAGGTTTTGCTGGGGAGGAGTCTAGGAATTGGTACCACCTGTTGATTGTCCTTATTCTTGCTGTATTTCTTTCCAATCGTAATTGCTAATCAATTATAACTGACATAGAGAATAGATTTGTTCTAGCCTCATTTACATTTTTTACTATCATTGCAGTATAATTTCAGAGAAAAGTAAAGCGAAGCCAAAAAAAAAAAAAAAAAAAAGGAAGAAACAAATCAGCTTTCAAAGTCATCACAACCCACACAAAGTAAAATTTTTTTAACAATGGGCCCTTTTCACAATAGAAAGACCTGTGACACTGGGTGCTGGACTGATTTCCTTGTCACTACTCTGTGTCAAAGCAATCCTGGGGCACAGCCCTTACAAATGTCACCTGTCTCCAGCTTTAAAAGTCAACCAGTCCCTTGGCTTTAGTGCCAAGGAACCGAGCCCCGTCCTGGGAGAGTCTTAAGAGGCGGGGGCAGGGCATGCCCTCGCCTGCCATGCGTCCTGTCCCGCGGGGCATCCCTGAGGGAAACACTGGAGACAAAGCTGGAGGCCCTGGCAGTGAGGCTCTTTACCTGTTCTGTGCCCCGTGGTCACCTTAACGTGATGATGTTCTGTTACTTCTGGAGACTGACAGCGGGTTTGCAAAACAGCAGGAATGAATGAAGCCGCATCGGAAACTCAGTGCAAGCTGCAGGGAGAGGCTGAGCGGAGGAAGCAGAATGGAAGACTTGGCGTCAGTTCTCCTATGGCAGCGGTAAATACCGGAACGCCGTTCCCAGTCCTGCCTCCTAGAGGGATCCACACTGAACTATTCTATATTTGCTGTCATTTGGAGGCTATTGACAAGTACACATTTCCTGTTTCGTGATTTCTTTGTTGTGGCCCTTGCCTAATGATTGTATCCTATGATAGGTAAAGAAATATTGACAAGTTAAAGTTTTATTCTAATCAAATTAATTAATTAATTTTGCCACAAAGACAATGAGGCTTCTGGAAGAATCTTGCATGGTCCTATTGGTCCCCACACTTAATCTCTGCTCCCCAAAGCTAACTGCCTTCAATCCTTAGCTGTTATTCTGGTAAATACTTTGGAATTTTTATATACTTACATTGCATTTTAAATTTTGACTTTTAAATTATTATCCACTGAATTCCTACTATAGAAGATAAATTACAGCTTCCTTAAAGTGTGTACATCACCACCCTTTCCTGCTACATCCACTTTGATTTCTTTGCACCTTCAGTAGAATTATTATAATTTTCAGGTAAATCAGTATCTACATGACTGTGATTACATAAATATTATTCACAACTGAGCTGCATATATATACTTATTTATTTTCTTGAACCACCCAATTTTAGTGATTGTTCTACTTTTTTCTTTTGCTTAGATCTCTGTGTAACTATTAACAATTTAATCTGAAGTCTCTGTGAAAGTAACTAAGTAGACTGTGATATTGAAATGCAAGAAGGCAACTTCTGTCTGCCACAAAATAAGATAATCTATCAGTTCCACTTTCTTGAGAGATACCCTTCCCCGTGTCTTCTGACTTCCTGCTCAAACTGGGACTGGCCATTTTCTAAGGTAAATTCTAAGGTGCCAGCTACATGGTCACTGCACTGGGGTTGTCTTTTTTGTTTGAGACAGGGTTTTGCTGTGTAGTTCAGTTTGGCCTTGAACTCATGAATTCACAGGCCTTCCGAATGCTGAGGTGACCTAATCTTGGAGACTTCTTTCACTTTTCTTCTGTGTTGGATCTTGTATATCAATTGTCTATTGTTATGTGACAAATCACCCTAGAACTTAGCAGCTTAAAAGGATAAACATCTACATTCTCAAAGTTTCTGGGGTCATGAATCCAGGAATGGCTCATCTCATTGGCTCTGGGGAAGGTTTCTCATAAGGTTAAATCCATTAGAGGTTGCTTTGAAGAATCTGCCTGTAAGCTCACTTACACTGATCTTAGCAGAATGATGCAGGACCTCAATATAGAGCTATTCACATCGTAGCAGCTGGCATCCCCCAAAATAAATGGGGAGCGGGAGAGAAAGAGTGAGAGAGAGAGAGCAATAAAGGCAGAAACCTTAGTGCCTCATTTCATAATCCCTGGAGGAACAGGTTACCATTTCTGCAATTTCTTTGGTCACTCAGACCAATCCTTGCCCAACACTAGACAGGACTGTACAGGAGAGTGAATAACAGGAGAAGCTCATTTAGGGTCAGCTCATAAAGTGGCCACAGCGCCTTCTCTCTTTGCTCCCATGTTTTTGGTCCTTGGTTGACTCCTTCCTTTTATTCAGTGGAACATTTTCCAGGAAAATGTTGCCTGGCAAGTCATTTTTTCTTAGTCTTTTCATTTTGCATGTCTTTATCTTCATCCTTGAGTGAGGGTTTTGGCTTAGAATTCCAAGTGGTTATCATCTTTTTCTGGAGAATTTGAAGGTACTGCAGAATAGTCTAGTGCCATTCTGAGTCTCCTCTGCTATGTGTCCCTGTTTTTGTGTTCTTAAAGTTTTTCAGATCTTCTCTTTATGTCTTATATTCTGGAGTTTCATATTGACATGTGGGTTTCTTCTTCATGTATTCATATATTTTCTTCGGAGCATATAAGTTCTATCAATTGGGAAATTGAAGCTCTGAATTCTGTAAGTCTCCATTTTTCATTTATTTGAAAAATTTCTGAATTTCTCAGTTACCTCTTCGGGAGGTTATATTTGGCATATGTTTACCCATATTGATGCTCTGATTTCCTAAATATTACTTTTTGTATTTTCTGTCAATTTAGATTTGATCTGTTTTCTGAAAGATGTCTTCAGTTTTACTTTTCTAAACTTTTACAGATTTAAAAATTTCTGCTTTTATGTTTCTAAGGAGTCATCTGTTGTTTTATGAATGTTTCTTTTTTTTTCTTAACACTTTGCCTGTCTATTCTGTTTCTATTATTTTGTCCACTTTGGTTTTTGAGAGTCTGGCTTGATCATTCATTCTGGATGAGCTATTAGCATGTTACAGTGGTGTCCCTAGAGCTACTGGAATTATGTGTGCAGAGGCCAGGCTTGTCAAGACCAGGGCTTTAATTTAGAGTAATTGATTTTGGCTATTTCACTAATAGATAAACCAATTTACTACTTATAGGTCTTTTTTCTTGGATTGGTCAGTTTCCTCTAAGAAAAATCACCCATCTTTTGCATAGGGCATGTCTGTGTGTGTGTGTGTGTGTGTGTGTGTAGAGATGTGTGATAAGCCAGGCTGCCGGGAGTGTAGGAGCCAATAGGGTGAATTAACATGGAGGGGTCGCATCATATTTTATGCGTGACTCCACCTAGTTTTCCTGTTTTAGTAGTTTTACTAGTTTACTAGTAACTAGTTTTACTAGTTTTACTAGTTTACTAGTTACTAGTTTTACTAGTTTTCCTCAGCTCTGCTGCCATTCCCAAGTCTTGATATTGTCAGACTTTAGCTGTTTAGTAAACTGCCAGCATAGAGACAGACACTGTCACCTGACTGTGCCAGCTAAGAGGTGGGACCTGGGGGAGGAGTTTAACAGTTTCATAGACAGACTTTAAATCAGTGCCTCTCTGTGCCTGACTCACCCTTCTGCGTCTTTATCACAGGTACTTTCTCACAGTCATTTACCTTGCCATCTCTGTGTGTAGCAGGGCATTTATTAGACTAGCAGGTCTTGAGATATTGTTCAAGGGTCTCTGGGCATCTGAAAAGTACAAGTATTTTTACTAACAATACTGAGATGTTACATACTCCTTTTGCTCTCATTCTCCTATGTGCATATGATGGAGTTCTCCTAAGACAACATGAGCTGTGGTATCATTGAACACAGAAGCACAAGGAGAATGCAGCTCTCTTCTGTTAAAGAAGACATTACAGAAGTTTGAAGAAATGTACAGTGCTCCTCTTATCATATATTTTTGTTGAGGAAAATTATTTTTCATAATGTATATTATTCATGCTAGCATATAATGGATTTATTAGTATTATTTAAATGAATTCATAAATAGTAAAAAGTATAAGTTTTAGTTAATATTGATTGGTGTGGCTTGGATTTTAAACATTCTTCTAAAACCTATATGGCAAGGGTTTGGCTGGCCGCCCATGGGGCTACAGAACCCTTAAGAGACAATGATGAAGAAAGGAAAGTCAGGTCATGGGAATGTACCCTTGAAGGGATACTGGGACCCTTGTCCCTTCTCCTCTCTTTCTCTTTCTTGGCCAGCATGAGATGAACAGCTTTGCTCCACCATGTCTCCCTGCCTCATTTTGACCCAAAAGCTATGGGCCAGGTGACCAAATAAAATCTCTGAGACTGGGAGCCACAGTAAACCCTTCCTTCTTGTAAGTCAGTTATTTCAGGTATATTGGTATAGTGATAGAAAGCTGACACGTTGGTATACATAAAGCACTAACACGAACCCAAAGCTCTTTGAGGTCTTCAGCAATGTTAATATAGAAGACAGAGAAAACTGCATGAGAACAATACTTCTGAAATCCTTCCTCTCCCTTCTTGACTCAGTGACCTGCTTACACAGACAGGGCAAGAGAACAAGGGGGAGGGGCATGACTCGGCTCTGTCCTCTCACCCTTCTTTCAGAGAATCCTGAGCTCATAGACTGAAGACAGGCAGGGAGGCACATGTTCTCAGCAACTTTTGGCCAGAGGTCAGTCAAAAGCTTGCTGGCTATATTTTGGGACAACACTTGAGGTGGTCCAGCATGACTTGTAATTATGATAAGTAAAACTGTTTAATTAAAGGCTGAAGTTGGCACATGTGTCTAATTCATGCAAAATAAGTTATATTTTCTAATATCAGCTCTATTAATAATCAGGGAGGTCTCTGACTTTTATAAATTGTTTTATTTTGGAAATGCTTTTGGGCTTATGGAAACACTGCAAAATAGTGGAAAGCATTCCGGTGTACATTATATTACATATGACCATCTGACTGGATTAGTAAACACTTTCCTAGGTGTTTAGAACAGATTTCTGGGTGTGCCTGTGGGGTGTTTCTTGGGAGGACTGGCATCTAAGGAGGATGTGTTCTGATCCTGTGTGTACCATTTGAGAGGCTGGCAGCTCTGGCGGAATGAGAGGGGAAGGGGAAGTCTGCTGGGTTTGGAAACTGCATTCTGTTTGACACAGTGGATCATTTTCCCCTTTTCAGAATCCAGGATTCATTGGGGGGGGGTAAAGGTTTTGTTTTTATTATTTTGTTCACATTACTTCTTTTCCATTCTTACATTTGGCTGTAGAGAATAATGGTTTTCACTTTGGCAGATTGACCTGTGCACAGCACACACTCTGGTCATTTTCATCCCTTCTGTGAGTGGGTGTATCTTTCGTTGCTGTCACCTGTGAACATCGGACTCCAGTTTCGTCGGCCTTTTGATGCAGCTGCACACCAGCAACACTCTGGGAAGCTTCTAGGGCTTCGGTCTCAGCCTGCAGCTGCATCCTTGATGCTTTGAGTACCACAGCTTCCAGCTTCTTGGTCTGAGCAGCTACTGCATCCTCTGGGCCTCTGCACACAGACACTGTGGACTTCCATTTCGGATCCTGTAATCCTATCTAGTAAATCCCTTTGCATAACTATGTATAATTGATTTGGTTCCTCTAGAGAACACTAATACACACAGCTGCTGCCCCTAACGTTAACATCTTCTGTCATTACAGTATCAAGGCAGGGCA